GAGCACAAGCCTTAATCAATCCGCCATTAATTCTACATTCTTTGTGTTAGCATCGCCGAATATCTGGTAAAGAACATATAACTACATATATATATTAGTTTAACTTGCATTTAGGTCTTACATTCACATATATTACAGAGAACAGGTCCGAGCACAACCTATACACATCAATTTTTGTTCCCCTCTATTGTCTCGTCTCCCCCATTTGCATAATTACAAACAGCTTCCCCAACCCTTTGGAACATGGATAGGTCCTGCACCAGACGCCCTCTTCTTCCCACGCCCACGCATCTACCAATGGACTGGTCTCAGTTAAGAAACAGATTCCAACCACCACCAGGCTTCTACCAACCACCGCCAGTCTTCTACCAACCACCACCAGGATTCCACCAACCACCACCTGGATTTGTGTTCCTGGTGTTATAAGTTTTCCAAAAATGTATAGTTTGTTTTTTTTGGGAGGCGCATGTAGCGGAACTTCACGCTAGAAATTTTGGCTGCAGGCCTAAGTGGCGTGGAAGCGTTGTCTGAGGCGAGCAATGGTCGATGGGTGGACATTAAAGTGTCTGGCGACGGCTACCTGTGAATTCCCCTGATCCAGCATGCCAATAGCTATGGACCTAAGTACATCCAGTTGCAGGTGCTCTAATTTGTTAGCTAGTTGGTCTGTGCAGTTGTCTCAGGTGACGTCACAATAATCGAAGTGAGGTAGGATGAAAGCCGTATAGATGGTTTGTAACGATTTGCGATGAAGTCTGTATTTAAGGCATCTTAACAATTGACAGATTTGCTGATTTTTTCGATAATACCGTTAATATGTTTGTTCCATTTACAATTTTGTTGAAAAGTCAAGCCTACATGTTTGTGATGTGGGACCTCCTTGATAGGAACACTATTTAGTGTAAGCGTAGGTAAAATGGGATTTTGTTTGGTTGTCAGTGCTAGTGTTTCGGTCTTTAGTGGGTTAAAGGATACCAGCCACGATTTAGCCCATGCGTTAATTTTATCTAGGTCACTGTTTAGAATATTTGCGCATTGGGTAGGATCATCAATTTTCAGATAAAGGGAATGTCGTCAGCGAAGAGTCGAACATTTGATGGGATATCACTTACAATATCATTTATATAAATGAAGAAAAGGGGAGGACCGAGAACAGAGCCCTGAGAATGGTAACAACAGACTGTTTTCTTCCCTCTAAATAGTTGTGAAACCATTGAAGGGTGTCTCCCCGTATCCCCACAGCTTCAAGCTTGTGACAGAGTCCAGCATGCCAAACCCTGTCAAAAGCTTTACTTATGTCACAGAACACTCCTCTCGTGTAGAAACCCTGGCCAATGGCTTGACAAAAGTAGTGTGCGATATCGGTAAGTTGGTAAACACTAGAATTCCCATGCAAAAAGCCGCTCTGGAGGTTAATTAAAACATAATTCTACCTTAGGAGGTTGAATTCATTTTTAACAATGCTAGGGTGGCCCATGTACTCACAGAAATACAGTCCACCGCTGATAGTTCGAGACTACCACTGAAGCGTGCACATTCGCCGTGCCGAGACCAACTTTCTGACAGTAAGACACTATAAATAGCCATGGCACGTGCAATTCTCTACAAATCTATCAACTATTACAGCCGTAAAAAATTTATTGTTGACGATTTTGAATAGCAGTAAAATTAAGCTTCTTGGTTATTACAGCAGATTTAGAAATTACGTTCGTTTCATTTTTTAAATCGCTTTAGCATTAACTGTACCGTTAAGAGCGGCATCTTTTGGTTTAGTACAAATAATATCTCTGAAACACTCAGGTTAGGCAAGAACATGATACTAGCAGTAGTTTCATTTTACTTTTACAAGCTTCTTAAAACGATTGTTGAGCTACCTAACGTGCTTATTTCTAAATTCAATTTCTTGTTCTAGCTTTCTGTTATGTTTCGTAAAAAAGTAGTCTTGATTATCCCGACCTGTCAATCAGACGTAGAATGGTCGATAAACTGGTTAAGCGAGACTAATTTCAAAACAAGGGCACGTAACCTATCTTTTACTCAAAAGTGTCTGGATGTTATGGACGACTCTTGGAACCAGTTTTCAGTCTGTTATTTATACGTGATTAATGGCCATAGCTTATTAAGTACAACATGATCGTTTATTTAGTGACGATAATTGTGTGGAACTGATTTGAGGCTTGGCATATATATAAGTATTGTGGCGTAATTGTCGAGATATATGGAGATATTTATTTATGGTGGGTCACCCTAACAATGCATTTTTCTAATATTTTAACTAAGATACTCAGTAGTGATATGGGCCTATAATTTCCGCAGTCTGATGGGTCACTTTTTTAATATGGCAGTTACATTGGCAAATTTCCAGATATTCGGTGATAAGAGGGCGTGGTTAAATAATTTACATAAGTGTTCAGAGATTTCGCTGGATGTTAGTTTTATTAGTTTCCCGCTGATGTTATCGGGTCCATTGGCTTTCTAGGAATCAATTGTAGTAATGATGTCTTCAACTCCATTCTCTGGCTGAGGGTAATGTTAATTAGAGAGTTGGGTATTCTTTCTAGTGCAGGAAGTGGTGCATTGTTGCTATCTGTGTTGGATTGGCTTATAAAGAAATCAATAAGGCAGTTGCATTTGTCGGATGGTGTGTGATATGTAGTGTCGTTTACTGATAGAGGGGGTAGTTCATTGCTAGCGCCAGCACGGTTCTTTTTCATAAATGAGTTGACAATGCCCCACCAGTTTTTACTTCCAAAGTTATTGCGTTGGAGTTTGAATTACTTGATAAAAATCAAAAAGTATCATTGCATTGTGTAAAAATGATCTCGAGTGGAAGTCATAAAATCGATATTAAAATCGCCAGATATAAACTAGTTATCGACATTATCGCATACTGGCTTAGCAATCGAATCAAAATGTTATTGTTTTGTTCAGCAGTAGAACTTGGAGGTGTTATAAAAGATACATATTAAAACAGTTTTATTTGAAGTATTTAATTGTAACCATATGCATTCTGTACCGTCGACTTCCAGATCAGGTCTTCTTTTCACAAACAGGGTGTCCCATGTAAGCCACCCCTGTCCGTACGTCCTGTCATTTCTTATAAAAGCTCATAGATATAATATTTGGGACATAATGAAACGCAAATCTATAAACAGCAGGAAAACACACATAAACATAATTACTTAGTGATGTACATTGAAAATAATTTTGAGGAAAACACACATAAACATAATTACTGAGTGATGTACATTGAAAATAATTTTGAGTATTTACATACGTTAGAAAATAATATAAATATTTACATTAATATTGGTAAGCACATATGCATATTTACAAATAAAAGATCGATAATCACGGAACGGCATTGATGCGGCGCTGTGCGTGGATTGTTACAAAGTTAGAACCCGAAAAAAAAATAAAAAAACAAATAAAAGATCGATAATCACGGAACGGCATTGATGTGGCGCTGTGCGTGGATTGTTACAAAGTAAAAAGAACCCTAAAAAAAACTAACTAAAACACAACAAACGACCCACACACACCCACACACACACGCACACACACACAACAAAAAAAATTGGCACGTTAAGTGCGACTATGGAAGAGAACATGGCATTTACGTAACAATCGACAGTAGAAATAACGGCTAATTTTAGATGGTGAATAATTTCAGTTGTAGTTTGTGACCCCCTCTGTTTGATAAAAAATTTAGATACGAGTTATGCAGTTTGTTGATACATGCCCATAACCGTTATTAATCAACACGTTGAAAGATTTCAGCATTAGGGTGCCCCACCATAAATAAATATCTCTAAATAGCTCGACAATTACACCACAATATTTCTATATATAACAATCCTTAAATCTGTTTGGCACATTTATTGTCACTAAATAAACGGCCATGTTTTACTTAATAAGCTATGACCATTTAACCATCGATAAAAAAAACCTGAAAAATGGTTACGAGTGTCCATAACATCCAGGCACTTTTGAGCAAAAAAATAGGATACGTGCCCTTGTTTTGAAATTTGTCTCGCTTAACCAGTCTACCAACCATTCTCCGTCTGATTGACAGGTCGGGATAATCAAGACTACTTTTTTTACGAAACATGACAGAAGGCTGGAATAAGAAATTGAATTTAGAAACACGCACGGTAGGCAACTCAACAAATGTTTTAAGAACCTTATAAAAGTTACACGTAACTAGTGCTGGTATCATCTTCCTCCCTAACCCGAGTGTTTCATAGATACTATTTGTACTAAATCAAAAGATGCCGCTCCTAACGTTATAGTTAATGATAAAGCAATTTGAAAAATAAAACGAACGTAATTTCTAAAGCTGCTGTAATAACCAAAAATCTAAATATTACTGCTATTCAGAATCGTCAGCAATAGATTTTTTACAGCTGTCATAGTGTAGAGAATTTCACGTGCGATGACTATTTATAGACTCAAAGAGAGTGCGTGACTAGCCAGAAATCACTTCGGGACAAGCCACTGAAGCGTGCACATTCACCGTGTCGAGTACCACTTTTAGTAGGGAAAATTTTCGGCACATGGGGCACCCTACAACGGCAATGTTTATCTTATTGTTACAAGGATAAAACTAACATTAGGCTACCTGCTCAGAGTTAATTGTAGACAATGTAGTATGCACGTACATATTTAGATATTTAGGAGAGTTAGCACATTTACAAAACTGGATACCTAAATTGTTAATAATTAAAATAATGCTGCACAATGCCAGTTTTAAAAAGTTAGTATTAGTAGGTGAATTAGCACAACATAATATCATTATTTATAATTATATAAATCTGGTATTCTATTTTTCAGACATGGTTACTTCAACAGATATTAAAATGTAAAATTAAACTGTTAATGTTTTGGTAGAGAGGAAGAGAGAAATTGGGTTTAACGTCGACTCGACACAAACTAGGTCATTTCGAGATTACCATGTGCGTCAAATGTATTTCCTTAATTCCTTAGCGTTTGGGGGTAACCAGAGAAAGTCCATGAAGATGGACAGTTCTGTTTTGATTGACAGTTGTCATGGGTAGGCCTATTGAGAACAAAATTGGGTGAGTATTGATTCTGTCCACTCTCTGGATTGTCCCCCTTTGACTGCTAATATAAGCGACCATGCACGTGCATTCAACACTCGGCCAGGTGATTTTGAGGTGACAACAAGTCAAGTTCAGTTTATCAAGATGGATCGTGCTATTTGGAATGGCAGTAAGAAAGTGCACGTATTATCAGTTTTGAAGAAATACAGGGTAAATGGCAATCCACCAAATACTGTTGTCAATTTTGAAGTAGGAAAGAATACAGAAACTTTGTCGATGCAGAAATTAAAGAATTATTTGGAAACCGAGATGGAATTGAATACCACTGAGTTGTGTGACATTTTAGGTATTGAATTGAAACGACAAAACCTTGTCCTTCTAGCTATGGCGGCAATTTTAGTTGCTAATGAGGAAGAGGAAGCGCAGTTGGGGAATGAATCTGATGAGGAGCCAGCCCGTAAGAAGAAACGCACTAAGGAACCGGCGAAGGTATATAAGTGTATATATTGTCTAGGGCACTGAGTATAAATGTATTTATTGTTTGAGGCGCCGAGTATCATGAATCGGTTGGGCGACTGTACGAGTACACTTGGGGAAATGGGAAGAAATCTAGGTCAGTTTAGTTAGTGTTCACATTAGTTGATTTACGCGCATGTTTGGAGATGAGTAGGGGCGTTCAATTCTCAATTTAATGTTAAGAACGTTTTAGCAGTTAGAATTTAAAATAAATAGTTAAAGCTCTATGAAAAGATAAGATAAGATGTTTATTGCATCAAAACGATGACTATTAGTTGGACTCGCATAGTGCATATCGACGGATGCCGGGGGAAATAGTTGGCATACTGCACATTGCGGTATACCAGTTCTTGGCAATATACTAAACATTTTACTAGAATCTAAATGGGTATATTAAATACATATATGATTATCTTTGGAAAATGGCCACGTTTTTGGATATTGGTCATGTCTAACCCGCAAGTAGGGGACCATTTATTTAGCACATATTAAAGGGTCGCCATACATTTAGGTAGACTGTGAGAGTATAATATATATTGGCATGTGGTCAATTAAATGACACATGTTGTACGTAGACTGCGAAAGTATAATTTTTTTACATGTGGTAAATTAAATGGCGCATGTTTTATTTGATATTTTATTTCACGTCTTGAGACAGCTAGTTAACTCTTAAATGGTATGTGAGAGTTTATAAAAGGATATGATTAAGTAAAACTAAATTAGTAGAGGTTTTTAGTGAGAGAAGTAGAGGTTTTAGTGAGAGAAATGAGTAAGAGGCTAAAGGTGGTAGAGTAGAAGGATAGAGTAGATCATGTTGAGATTAGAGAAAGAACAGGAGAGGTCGAGAGGATCTGGTGGGGATGGGGGTCGGAAAGATAGAGGAATTAGATGAGAAATGGATTATAAATATGCCTTGAAAGTTTGGGAAAGGAATAAGTATCCATAGGGGGGGGGGGGTAATGGACAGAAGAGATGAACTGACGATGAAAGGTAAATAGAGCGTGAGATATGGAAACGGGGGGGGGGGGGGCGCAGTGAAATATAAGTAAATAAGAGATAGGCGTAGGAAAATGGATACAGTGGTGGATTTGAAATGGAAGACGGTATAGAGATTCGGCAAAGTATTTCTAGAGGTGGGTGAGAAACCCGTTGTACATATTTATGTCAATTGGGCTAGTGGACTGAGTTATTCCCTCTGTTTACTAGCCTTTATTTGTCTTGTAGGTGACAGTTCCCCAGGTAGCTTCAGTTTCTGGTGTCAATAGAGATGAAATAAAAGAGAGAATTTCATATTTGGATGGAATTGTGGGCTGTAGAAAATACATACGTCAGAAAAAGAAACTCGAGAAAGAATTAGAGCACTTTTTAGCCGCGTTAGTTCCTTCTCAGACGATAGAATCCGTCTCGATTTTGCCTATGAGCGAATTTTTAGTAGTTAAGGATGTCGGATGCAAAACACAAGATCATATTCCTGGGTGTATCTTTAAAGGTAGCGGGTACGGATTCGAGCGGAAGTGTAGTTGCCCTATCCGCCGGGCAGCCTCCTCACTTGACAGTTTGATAGGACAGTTAAGGGCAATTTTTAGAGATCGAGGTAGGGGCTCAATTTGGAATGAGCAACTTGGTTTAGGGAATCCCATGGCATCTTTGGCTATTAAACAACATTTGGAAGCAACCAAAATTGAGCAAAGTGTGGCTATAGTTGTTCCGAAACAGGCGAAACCCCTGTTTTTAGAGAAGATATTGAAGCTTTCTCGATATTTAAAGTTCCTCCTGTCTAACCCTAATTTATCTATAAAGGAACAATATTTATTACATAGGGATGATGCCTACTTTAGGTTCATAGGCTTTTCAGGGGATAGAGCTGGCGATCTTGGGAGATTGAGGGCAGAAAATGTAAGATACTTACCTGATAGCGGAGGGATATTAATTCATATGGTGGAAGGGAAAACTATCCAGGGAACGCCGAGAGTTTTTGTGTTAATGGTTAATGAGAATAGAGAATTGTGTCCTATTGTTGGTTTGCAGGACTATTTGTCGTTCTGCGATTCTAAAATATTTGACAACCTAAGACAGTTTTTTTTTATTCCGCTCATGTCGTTCTCTTGTCGATGTAGGTAAAAATAAACCCGTTTCATCGTCTGCTATGAATATGCGTCTTAAGAACCATTTGCATAATGCAGGTTTGTGGGCTGGTGAAACACCACACGGTGCAAGAGGCGCATGTGCTATGACATTAAAGTTACTGGGCGTTTCTGATCAAAATATTCAAGCTCATGTTGGATGGAAGTCTTCAAAAATGTTACAAAAATATACATCTGTGATGTCGTTGGTCGAGAATGAGGCATCGGCAGCGATGCTGTCGAAGGATTTTGTTGGTGACGTTAGAACAAATGAGGTGTCAGAAATGAGTTCTGATCTGAATAACTGGTTCAACTTGAAAGTGATTTAGTGTGAGTAGCGAGATACTTAATATAATTTTGTTATTTCAGACGGAAATTGAGAAAGAGGTAGCCGAGTTAAAAAGGGTAGTTGATCAACAGCAGAAAGTTCAAAATGAAGAATCGGTCGAATCCGCTCTCCGTCAGGTGAAAGAATACGGTAGTCGAACATTTGATTATAACCCAGACGTCTTTCTGCAGAAGCTAATTACTTTGGAAAAAAGAGCTAGGAAGACGAATCATCCTGAAAGTGAAACCTTCTCGTTTGTTTTACAGCGTTTTAATCATAATAAGTTTCATCCTCGAGTAGGGAGCTTAACCGTATCTATGCTGTCAACAGCTAACGAGTCTTAAGATTTTGAAAAAGGAACACGAATTCATGAAGTCGTTTCCTAACCCGATGCCTCAAATGCATGGCGGTTTTGTTCAGGAACCGATCCGTAATGGTTATAGACCTACATCAGAAAGATCAGGTCCAAGATGTTATAATTGTAATGAGTTTGGACATTTTGCTAGAAATTGTTTCAAAAAATGAGTTCTCCCCAATGAAAATGTTTTATTTTTTAGTCGAATGTTGGAGTGTACATGAACAACTTGGTCTCCCGAATATCTTATGACGGCAATGCATTATTGTGTACAGAACATCCAAGCGCAGAGGACGTAATTGATAAAGGGTTACATCCAGATTTGAGCTTGATCCCCTTTAGAAGAACTGACGAATTTAGGGCAGGGAACATCCACAACTGTTTTCAAGAGTGGGAGAAAATTGTCGAAAACAATCGCATAGATAACATTGATGTTTTGGATGTCATTAAAAATCGTGTCAATATTTTGGAATATATACCTTTTTGTGGAACTTTCGCCGGTTAGGAATATGAAGAAAATTTTCCACCGTCTAAACGATTTCCGAATGCTAAAAGCTGCGAACAGTTTCGGGTTTTCATTTGTAGTGAGATAAGAAACAGGTTGAAAACGGGAGCAATTTCGGTTTGTAGTTCAAGTGATAAACCGTATCTAATTTCGCCATTAACGGTAGAGCCTACGAAGACCCGTTTATGCTTAGACCTCAGATTTTTGAACTGTTGGATGAAAGATACGCCTTTTACATTGGACACTCTTAACAATGTACCTAGAATTATAGAGAAAAATACCTTTATGTCAAAATTAGATGATAAATCCGGGTATGACCACGTGTTAATTTCGGACGAGTCAAAGCCATTGGTAGGATTTTCGTGGAATGATGTGTATTATGTATGTAATACCATTCCTTTTGGGTGGAAAAATTCAGCTTTCGTTTACCATAGTCTTAATTTAACAGTGGCCTCATATTTAAGGACGTTATCAATTAATAATTTAGTTTACATCGACGACCGTCTTATTGGGCAAATTTCAAACCACATGTATCCAAATAGTGATTATTTCTTGAGGGCCTCAGTTGCTTTGTATGTGACCTGTCAAATTGTTGTTCGATTGGGTTATTTTGTTGGTTTAGGAAAGTCAGTTTTTACACCCGTACGATCATTTGTGTTTTTAGGTATGTGCATAGATTCACTAAAACAGGCATTTTTGGTTCCCGAAGAAAAGTTAGAAAAATTTGCTATTTTGAGAGAGTCTATTTTGGCTAAGCAAACGGTATCTTTAAAAGTACTCCAACGGTTTATGGGTAAATGCATCTCATTTATGCTGGCTGTGCCTGGGGCACGGCTTTATATTTCAGACATATGTATAGCACTGTATAGGTCCGGGAGCTTTAAAGGACGAGGTCATATTTTGGCGATTCGTAGATAATTGGGACGGTTTCTTACCTTGGAAATTAGAAAAGCATAAGGTAGTAACATTAACAACCGATTCCTCGAATTATAAGTGGGCTGGAAAATTTGAAAATAATGACATTAGTTTAGAATTCGGTGATTATTGGCATGCCGAGGCCAGGGCTATGATTCCCTCTTTGAAGTCGTTTAAGAATTATATTCTAGACTCGCGTATTGATATTTTATGTGATTGCAAGTCATTTATTGATGCTTGGAATGGTCAAGGTTCAAAGTCTCCTGAGGTAACTGTAGTGCTTAAAGAACTTTTCGTTTTAGTAAGAGATTTGAGAATTTATTTAAATTTCTGTTTTGTAACTTCCAAACAAAATCCCGTAGATGATTTATCGAGGTCATTTTCCAAAGAGGATACTATGTTATCGAATATAGCCTGGGAAAGGGTACAACAGTTAAGGACAGGAAACTGTCATACATTAGATTTAATGGCACTCGACTCGAACGCTATGGTAGGAAGGGATGGTAAGCAAATTAAGCATTTTACTCCATATGCCACACCCAACTCTGCTGGAATAAACATGTTTGCACAAGATATTGATTCCGCGGAGATAGTGTTATGTATTCCCCCCTTTAAATGTATTGAGGCAGTTTTAGCTTTTATTTTGCAACAAAACTTATCTTGCACTTTAGTTGTACCTGATTTCCCTGTCAAACAGTCATGGTGGCCAAATTTAGTTTATTCTAGCAGTTTGTGCGCTACTTTAGGAGTGAAAGGGGACAAAGATGTTTTATTGTATCATCCAAGAAAGGGTGTATACGTGATAAGAAAGGTTTACCATGGAATATGTTAGTTTTCCACATATATCCTGCGCGAGTTAGTAAATGTATCCATTATGAACCCCCTGCAGTTTTACCGCATTCAAAAGTTATTATTGGCGATTCGATTGTGAGGGTATTAGAAGATAAAAGTCAATGGAGCGTAAGGTCTGTTAGTGGAGGGAGGATAAAGGATATAGCCAAGGTGCTGAATGATTTTGTCTCTCGTTATAAACCGGTTTATGTACTGGTCCATGTTGGCTCAAATGATTTAAATGTGTCAAATTTACTCCAATCGACTGTTATTGGAAATTGCAAAGCAAGTGTTAAGCTATTAACGAGATGTTTGTGCGACTAGCAAAAAAGATTTGGCTGCTCGGTTTTTATATCGCAAGTATTGGTCACTATGAACAAAAACGTTAACAGGAGGATTTTAATCCTAAATGAACTGTATGAAAGGATGTGCAGAGAAAATAATTGGAAATTTGTGAAACATAAAATCTCGGTAAATCATTTATGTGATGGATTGCACTTGAATAATAAAGGGGTGGATGTATTTATGAACAGTTTGAGATTATAGATAATCAATATACATTATGTTGTGTCGTTCAATACCTGGTCGAGATTTACACTTTCACATATAATGCCGTGGCATTAAATAAACATGTTATGGCTAAATTTAAATAGGTGATGGGATAATTTAAATGTGTGATGGGATTAAATTAAGTGTTGAAAATATGTTGTTTTGTTGTATATTACTTGTTGGAGGATCACGGTGGCTATGACGCTGGCTCACTAACCTGGGGGTCGGGGGTTCGATCCCTGCATTGGCCGAGGAAGTTCATCCAGATTTTCCGGAGTGGTTTCCATTTGCCAGTGATACAGGACGGGGGGACCTGACAGGGACAACTTTCTGGTCGTTCGGATGGGACGAAAAACCGAGGTCCCGTGTTGGCAGTTGGAGTTCGATGTAGGAGTGGCGCCCCTGTCCGAGCCAAATTTCCCTCATAGCACACTGTAGGGCGTATGTCCGTCTTCGTTAGCCCAGTTTAGGAGCAGAACAGTAGGACGTTAAACCCCATTTCATATTACTTGTCGATAGTGGTAGGGGGGTTAGCGCACTATACCTCCAATACTTATATCTACAGGGCAAAGGGGCAATCCAGAGAGACCAGTACACTGTTCACTCTCTGGATTGTCCCCCTTTGACTGTTATTATAAGCGACCATGCACGGGCATTCAACACTCGGCCAGGTGATTTTTTGGAGGCTAAAGAAAAGGAAAATCTAGGGATTGAGACAGGTTGTGGAGTCTAGCTCTTGGATACCTCCAATACTTATATCTACAGGGCAAAGGGGCAATCCAGAGAGACCAGTACATAGCAAACAGTTGATATGCACATGCACAATATAAGACTAATAAGGATAAGTATTTTACATATAAACTCTATTGATATTCAATAACTGATTAAAAAATAATAATAATAATAACTAGACCTGCAAACAGCACTGAGCCGGCTTTCAGGAATCAGACAGGAAGTTTGTCATACAATAGCCCATTCATCGAGCTACCAAACGATACTTTAGATGTTTTGATGCGGTCACACTAATGTGTTATCTCCCTTATACCATTAGACCATTAGAAGACGATATAACAATTTTTCAACTTTTTTCAAAGATTGTGGCTCTTTTTGGACCATTTATACTATATTGAGGCTTTTAAATTTGGATTCACACCCTAGACCACCGTTAGGACTCTAAGTAACATAAGTTTAAGAAAGTTTTTGGGATGAAAGCATCTGAATAGCCCCCAAAAATGAAAATACTAGATTTTCAGCGTCCCATTATATATTGCCTAACCAGCGAATTTTTACCATTTAGATGTCATACGATCGTCCATTGTTTGGGCTATCCAATGACACTTTAGTTGTTTTGAAATCATACGTAGTAATCACTTTTTTTTGCAAGATCACCATTTTTCTTTTACTTTTTATGGTTTTTTTTCTCAAAATATCGGAAATCTTTTCGACTACTACCGGTTTTTGGATCATTGTCGGGATAATTTTAACAAGTTGTTTGGTTACCTAACCTTCTGTACAAGAAGTTTCAGAAAAATCCATTCAGCTGTTTTCCAAAGAAAGAAAAATAGAAGAGCATTTTCAGTAATTTAAGGATTTTTCAACTTTTTTCCAAAATTGAGGTTCTTTTTGGACCACTTATATTATTTCAATGCTTTTATTTTAGGACTCACCCCATAGTCCACCGATAGGACTCTGAGTAAAAAAAGTTTAAGAAAAATCGTAGTTTTCGTTTTCGAGAAAATGGTGTCCCAAAATGCTTCAAAACGGAAAATAATAGATTTTCGGCGTACCATAATTTATTTTTTTTAACCTTTTTCTTCATTTTTTGAATAATTCCGATATGGAGATTATTGTCGGGATAGTTTTAATAACCGGATTGGCTTATCAAATAGCCACAGGGTTATGTAATGATATATTACATTGTCTGATCAGATAAAATGCCTCTGGGAAATCCTATGTTCAATAGTGCCAAAAATTCAAAAATGTCAAAATTTCGAAAATTAAATTTCAATAACTCAATGCATATTATACATCGTTAGAATCGTAATTAGGTCAGCTATCCGAATGTGTAACCTTTTCGTAAAAATATGATTAAATAATAAAATAATATAGTATTTTCCAAAATTTCACGAATTTTCGACTTTTTTCGATTTTCAGCCCCTTTCTTAACCCTATTCCAGACATTTCAATGTTTTATTGGATGGTTTCCTGCACAAGACTAAGTTTTTGAGATAAAGGCGTCCAAAAACGCTCCAAATCAGAAAATACTTGATTTTCAGCTTGTCATATTTTGCTGCTTGGCCATAGTATCCGTATAAATTGGGCATCATACGACAGCCCATTCCTCGGCCCACTCAACGAAAGCTTAATTCGTTTAATCCATTGATATTGGACGGTGAAATCGAGTTTTTCCCCAAAACACCCATTTTGTGCATTTTTTTCGAAATATCGGACATTATTTCGACTACTTCCGGTACACGGATTGTTGTTGAAATTGCTTTATCCAATGGTCTGAAATTATAGCTTTATGTTCCAGGACTTTCAGAAACATCAATTGATCCTTTCAAAGAAATATAAGGGGCGATAACTCGGAATGAAACTTATATTTCTGGAATCGGGTGGTCTTCAGGTATCCAGAAATGTAAGTTAAATTTGAAAATTTTGAAAATCTTAAACAACATTTTTCATTTTTCGAACGCTAGAAGTCAGCGACGAAGTTTCGAAATTTCGAAATTTTCAACTGCTATCGTCCGAGAAAAGACTCAGGGTTTCCGAAAATGTCATTTGTTTGAAAATAGGTAAAGAATTGACAAAAAAAGGCTGTTTTTTTAACTTTTTGACACCATACCAAATTCGGCCACTTCCGGTCTGAGCAGAAGTTTCAAAAATAGTTTATGGAGTAACCACTACATGGTTTCCCCATAGAAAATTAGACCCCAGATCGGTATCTCTTACAGAGACTGAGAAATAAGGGTCCGCGGTAAATACTAATAATAATAACTAGACCTGCAAGCAGCACTGAACCGGCTTTCAGGAATCAGACAGGAAGTGTGTCATACAATATCCCATTTATCGAGCTACCAAACGATACTTTAGATGTTTTGATCCGGTCACACCCGACGATGAAATCCCGATTGTTGCAAGAGCACCGATATTTTTGCTGTCTTTTTTTTTATTTATCGAATATCTTTTTGACTACTTCCTGTTCACTGATCATTATCGGGATAGATTTAACAAGTGGTATGGAAACTTAACTCCCTGTACCAGAAGTTTCAGAAAGATCCATTGGACAGTTTTACCTCCCTTATACCCTTAGAAGCAGATTTACAGATATAACAATTTTTCGACTTTTTTCAAAGATTGTGGCCCTTTTGGACCATTTATACTATATTGAGGCTTTTAAATTTGGATTCACACCATAGACTACCGTTAGGACTTTAAGTAACATAAGTTTAAGAAAGGAAATAAGAGAAGTTTTCGAAATAAAAGCGTCTGAATAGGCTCAAAAAAGGAAAATAATAGATTTTCAGCGTTCCATTATATATTGCCTAACCCGCGAATTTTTACTATTTAGATGTCATACGATCGTCCATTGTTCGAACTATCCAATGACACTTTAGTTGTTTTGATTCGGTGGAATCTGGCGTAGAAATCACTTTTTTCGCAAGATCACCATTTTTTTTTTACTTTTTACGTTTTTTTTTTCAAAATATCGGAATTTTTTTCGACTACTTCCGGTTTTTGGATCATTGTCGGGATAGCTTTAACAGGTTGTTTGGTTACCTTACCTTCTGTACAAGAAGTTTCAGAATAATCCATTCAGCTGTTTTCCAAAGAAAGAAAATTAGAAGATCATGTTCAGTAATTTAAGGATTTTTCAACTTTTTCCCAAGATTGAGGTTCTTTTTGGACCACTTATATTATTTCAATGCTTTTATTTTTGGACTCACGCCATAGTCCACCGATAGGACTCTGAGTAAAAAAAAGTTTAAGAAAAAAATTATTTTTTGTTTTCGAGAAAATGGCGTCTCAAAATGCTCCAATACGGAAAATACTAGATTTTTGGCGTACCATAATTTATTTTCTAGCCATCTAAATCGTAACATTCAGATGTCATATGATAGTCCATTAATGGGGCTATCCAGTGATACTTTAGTTCTTTCTTTTGGTCCGCTAACATCTGATGGAGAAATCAAGTTTTTCGCAAGAGCGCTATTTTTTTAAACCTTTTTTCTTCAT